GCACAAAAAGAACAAAGACACAACAAAACAACACACCACACTCAAAATAAAACAACTCATAATATTACAAAACCATATAACCTAAAGTACATAACTTAAAAACTCAACTAGACTTAAGATAGTAACAGTAATGAATTACATTTATACATCAGAAAAACATTAATTTCAAGTGAAGGTAACTCACTGAGATGTAGGAAGTAGCAATACAAAGGCGCTTGATACGTGGCAACAAGGCATTTTTCATGGCTGGATAATCAATGAGTCCTGCAAATGTTGGTAGAACAGACAGACAAAGCTCCTGAATCTGCTGAGCATCTGACTCAAGTGCCCGGTACAACATTGGTAGTACATCAGTTTTAATCTCTTCTGCTGGTGTCAATTTTAAGAGAAGTTCCATTTTTTGCATAAATATCAACAAAATCTAAAAATCAGAAAAACATACACGATTCATTCAGAAAACCCAGTATCTGCTGCCATCAACTTAAAATCACACACAATAAATACGTACACAAACATACAAATCATGAGTAGAATTTGAGGTTCTGGTGATGGCAAATATGAAGATAGACGTCTTCTGGGTTCCACCACCATGTAGTCTGGTAGAAGTTCTACATTTAAAAGGTCCTTGCTGATCCCTGATGATGAAAGCAGCAAGGACCTCTGAAACATTGGTAAACTTCTACCAGACTACAAAGTGTTACAACCCAGAAGGCAGCCTTCATCTTTAAAATGATGTCATTCATAAATGTAGGCAACTAATTTATTTATTTCAATACCTTGGAGAAATATTTCTGATAAGTGTTATAAATAGATCTCACTGGAATTTCAAGTCTGTTTCATATACAAAACTCAAATTGATTATCATTTTTTAACATATTAACCACTTCTATAATGTTTTTTGAGTGGCTTCTATCTCAATGACAGGATGACACATTCTGTTATATGAAACACCTCTTCCACAGGAACATTATGTATATGCAATTTTCCATCGATTTAACATTTTATAATCTGTTATATATACTTAGTGGTATGTTACACTGTGTGTTTACTAAACCACAATGCTACACATTGGGTTATCTTGTAAGTAATATATATATAATGTAATTAAATGTTGGTCTCACTGGTTGTCTTAGTATGCTTTAACTCAGCTCTGAGCCTTGGGATTAACACTCATCTATGTGAGCTTTATTTTTTTAATCCTGCACTGTAAACTTTTATTTATTACATGCTGCATGTTCCTTTCCTTATAAAACTAATAACAAAAAAACTATAATTTCAGTAATTTATTTTTCATCAATTTCACTGAATAATACAAACAGCATAATAGATGTTTTGAATTTGGTAACAAAAGGAAATGAATGGTTAATTTTCAAGCACTATATATGTGTGAGCATGTGTGGGTGCCCACATGCACTTCATTTTAAACTTCAGTACTGTGTAATCAATGCATGAAATTTGTTTATACTTTTTGCTCATTTTGGTCCATGAACTTGTAGTAGTTCAAAAAAGCATATCACCTGGAAATTTCCCTGATTAAATGTGGCCATGATAAACGAATCCTCTCAAATAGCATACACTAAAAAGGAACTATTCTCACATCTGCTTTCTATGGGAGTAAAGACATGAACATGTTGATTACCTGGATAGGATCCTGCATCTTCATCACAGGCTTTAGGTGTGGAAGGATGTGTTGTGAATATTCCTCCTTGCTGCAGTTCTGTGTCACTAACAGTATATTTGGTAAAACAAATGGAACCATTGTTGGATTCACAAATTCCTTCATCAGACATGGAAGTATTCTAAAACACAATACGACATTGGGCATGAGTGGAAAAATACATTTTATTAAATAACATACAATGATTATGTATGTTACACATCATATTAAATTTCTCTCTCAACAGAACAAGACTTGGGATGTGAAAGTGTGGACTAGATTCAACTGGCTTAGGACAGAACCCAATAATAGGTTCTTATGAACTTGATAATGAACCTCTGAGTACCATAAAAGGTAGGGTATTTATTCACAAAATGAAGATATCAACTTATCATAAAGGACTCTGCTCTGCACAGTAAGTACATTAAAAAAATCAGTGCTGCCAACTACATTTTCTGAAAAACCAACTGGAAAACACTGTCAGATGTAAATTAACATACATATTACCTAACTTACAGTTTGATAAACCCTACCCTTAACATTAAAAAAATATTACTTTCATAGCACCCATATCATCTGTTCAGGCATCTGAATGTTTTAATTCAAGCACTGTACACTACAGGCTTCCTACTAACTTACTGCACCTCTTAAACTTTCTCTTTATCACATTTAAGTTTGTATCAAATCATCATGCAAATCTCTCCCTTGGTCCTACCCTACCCTCAAACATTTTTGCAACTAGTGAATGGCTGCTTTGCAGAACAGTGGGACAAAGCTATTCATATACTCAGATTCAGCAACACTGTGCAATTCGCACTACTTCTTTTAAACAACCTTGAGTTTCTCAAATCTTTAGAGCTACTTTTTTACAACCAGAGAAACACAATTAAGAGGTACTAAGTAATACAAATCATACAGAAGCACTGGATGAAGGTAAGGGTCTTAAATGTTCTGGAAGAAACTTATTAGATATAATATTTTAAATATACAGGAGGTTAAAATTTGAACCATTATGTAGAAAAAGTATAGGTTATTGTCAATTACCATAAACAAATAACAGAAATCAATATTTCCAGACAACGAATGACAAATATTTGGGTTCTTACGAGTAACAATTTCTGCTGTTGAGTAGCTGCCATCTTGAAGCATACAGCCAATTTTAAAAACAATGATATTAAGAACAATGAAAACTTGTCATAAACTGACTATACGAGACAACTAAAAGTAAATGAGTGGTAATTTCCGCAATTATACAATATTGCTGCTCTAAGCTTCATATAAAAAAATCTATAAAAGTTGGTCATCAATGTCTCATCAGTCACTGAAATATCCATATTGTAATTCCTATTCTCTGGTTGTCTGTGGACAACTTGTATCCTACCAATGTTTCTCCTCTCCCTGAAAGTCACATTAACTCCTCACCGTCGAGGGGTGTAAAATTACGTCCGGCATTTAAATTCTTGGGATTGCGGCAGGGCGTAATATTACGTCTGGCTTTAAGCCTAATTTCTTCAGCTCATAACTTTGTAACGATTAATGCCAGCGCAATGAGGTTTGTAGTACTCTGTTGTGGAAAGTTTTCTGTGTGTGAAGATCCGGCAACCTTGTTGAATATCCCTTGAGCGACTACCTGGGAGTCTAAAAATAAATGACTGGCCTCAGTTTTGCAATGGAGAACCCTTCAAGCAGTCTTGTGTTATCTGATGCTGAACAAATATCACTTCTAGACGAAATATTGGAAGTGACAATTATAGTAGCTCGGACACTGAGAGTGTAGACTTTGAATATACACAGTTGGTGACACCGGGAACGTTAGCGATTAGTGATAATGAGAGTGACAATTGTGGTGGCGAAAGCCAGGAAGAAATTGTAGAAGCAAATTCAGGTATTGTTTCCGGCAAGTATATGTGGAAAAATATAGACTCATTTCCTGCTTCAAGAGAAGCATTTTGTAATGTATATGGTCCTCGGTTCGACACGGCTGAACTAGATGTCGTGAGTTCATTCGAAAACATTTTCGATACAGCTCTTGTGCAGCTCATTGTAGATGAAACCAACAGATATGCTAAGCAAGAAATTTCTAAAAGTGCCCATCCTCTCACATTTCGATCTAGGATTAGGAAGTGGCAAGATGTCACAGTAGACGAAATTTACGTGGTTTTGGCTCTATTTATGTTGATGGGCATTGTTCAAAAGCCTACAATCAGATCTTATTATGCAAAGAACCGGCTGCTGTACACTCCGTTCTCAACTTCTGATCCATTTGCTCCCATTGGTCACACACAGAGAGCTCATCTTATAAGGTAAGATTACAAAACCATCTTTTAAGAGGATTTCAGTGAAAAATTCATAATTATATCTCATATAGTTCAAAAGTTATGGAAAAAAACGTATTTTACAGCAAAATTTAAACGGGCATTTAAAAAATACTACCGCCGGAACAGCACAACAGCGGTATATGCTGGGTATTTAAACTTCCGTGTCAACAGGTTAACACTCCAATGAGCTCAGAAAAAGAAAAATGCACCAGAGTTAAAACCAAATGTTCTATGAGGGGCAGTTACAATTAACTCTTCAAAGACCACAGGTAATTATATGTATCACCTGCTTTAATAACAAGCAACTCTGCACCTTGTCCACGGAGTGTAAGTATGGGTTTTGTATTATTCTCATAATAAACAGCAATTATTTCCTTGAACAGCATTAACCATCTGATCTGTTTTCTATGAGGTAAGAACTGAATTTTCAAATGTTATTTACAAGAGCTTCAGATTCAAACAGTTAATCCAATGTAGCAGTGCATACCAATAAATTTTACTTTGTACACTAAAAGCTTTTCCCATTGTTTACCTTGAGAAAATGAGATGTATGCCTTTTTTTGGGAGATACTTAATTAAATATGATGGATACCAACACCTATGAACAGAAATTATATTTAATATATATTAACAGCAGACATATAAAGTTAAATCGCTCTCAATTGCTAACACAATGTCAATTAGATAATAACAAAGGACATTTCAGTAGAATAAAGCGACCAATTCATTTTCAACTTCATTCTTCAGATAATTATAATCTTTGCTCACTGTTTGATTGAAACTCACCTATATATACAGACTCGGTGTGGCAGATTTTGTATAATCTGTGGCAAACCCTTGTAGAACCGAGACTTCTGAAGATTATCCCATTGAAATAAAGAATCCAAATAATTAAGAGTCTTCACCCCCACATCTTCAAAAAATTCAATCTGGAAAATGTGAGCTTAAAGTAAGTACAAAAAGTTAAAGTCTTAAATGACTGCCTTCATGGAGCATGAGTCTTAAGAAGTTATTGCACATTCAGCTAGGCAAGAAATTTCCAGCCTTTATAGAACACAGAGGTTCATAATCATATTCACAAAATCCCACCAATGACCCTTATCCTGAACTAGATGAATCCAGTCCATATCTTCTTTAATAAAATTAATTTCATTTCACATTATCTTCGCATCAATGCCTGTCTCCAAAGAGATCTCACCCGATAATATTTTCTGAGTAAAATATTTTACATATTCACTACTGTTTCGTGTATTCTTTGTCTCATCTCATCTAACTTAATATACACCTATCTTACCATGGTTCTAAATGAACTTATTATCTCAATTAATCTTGAGGATAACAGAGTTCTCATGCAAGTTTCTCTTACTGAACCATTGGTTCCCTTCCAAACAATAAACTTATGCATACACATCATTCTTAAAATGAATTCACAGTAACCTGAGATAATATTATGATCTTATGGACAAAAGGTGAGACCAAATGGCTTTATTAGTCCTACCCACAGTGGGCAAAGCCTGAACATGTCCAACACTTCTATCCTTAATGTGAGGTACAGCAGAAGTGCAAACTATCCTACAAAAGAATGTTTTGTTTCATATTCTGACATAAACTTCCATCTCTTCAAGTCTTGTGGCAATAAAAACTTTAATCTAAATCTCTTCTGTTCAAAGTCCAGAAACAATACAATAGTAAACAAGTACACAGATTTAACACAAACTTCATCAAAAGAAGGTATGAATTTTCTGTGGTTAAACCTATACAATACAATATACCTGTTCTTGCTTAATATATGATCCAATCTGACTGGAATCATTCCTAACTATACCAAGACCAGACATTTTCATTATCTTCTGCAATGTACTTAAAACTGTTACCAATTACATGTTCCACGTGTAATTTTGAGTGCATGTTTTAACAAGTACTAAGAAAGCAAATTTAATGGCAGATGATCACAATACAGCCAATGGCTGCATAGCACAGAACTGTATGATTTTGAAATACAAATAATTTTCTCACTTGAATGCCACATCTGAGAAGTACACACAAAATTTTGGTCAGAAAACTGTATTATGATTAAGATGGGTCTTACAGAAATAAGATGTGGACTGAACTGATTTAGCTCAGGTCTGTCTCAGTGGTAGGCTCTTGTGAACAATGCACCAAATTTTAAGATTCCATCGATACCAGGGAATTTGACTAGCTGACGAACCATTAGCTTCATGAGGACTCTGCTCCATAGCAATAATTAGTCAGAATGAAAAGATACCAAGTCCAACAGAGGTACACTTTTTATAAACATTTATACACTCACAAATTAGGGTTACAATTTGCTTATAAGCTGTAATAATTGTCAGTAAAGTGACAAATTTTGGAATGGTCCGCAGAGTTTGAGTTTTGTTAGTGTCAAATTTTCTCTTATCACACACAATAAAGAACTGCGGGCCACCCAGCCTCCTGTCCAGTGTGTACTGGAAGCTCTCTCCATGCAGGTAAAGTGGTCAGAGTATGCAGCTGATCACTAATCTCCACCTAGTATCCAAATTAAAAATGAGTGAAGCTTCACTCACGCACAATAACAACTTTTTTTACTACTTGTTTAGAGAATAACAATGAAAACATTGAGTTTAAATGTTTATGTACTGTTTATAAATAAGACATCATCTTTGCACCTTATATTCTTTTTCCATACATGTCAAAATAACAGGAAAATATTAATGTTCTAAATTTAACTGAATTTTGAACATACCTTGGTAAATTGATGAGCATCAGGCCTCAATTCTGGTGTAACATTCAACATCATTTTGACATAGTCTCGCAGTCCATCTGTTACACAAAGTAATCGCGCTGCTTGCAGCTGCTTCAGCTGAAAGAATAAACAATACAATTAAACAGTTTTTAACAGTCTGAGTAAGTAAGCCTACTGTCAAATAATGTTCAAACCAATGGGGACAGTCTCAATGAACACCTATTGTGAGACAAAGTATCAAGGGTGACCACACACTATTACAATAAATTATTTTCTACATTAGAGCTCTGCTAGTTTTAGAAATCACAGTCTTGACTCTGGATACCCAACTTTACATACAACTCAAAATTACCCCTGCTGCTTCTCACTCATGCACTTCATAGTTTCCCCCTCCCACTGGGCAGCATTACTCAAACCTGGCTAGGGGGTGTTGGTTTGAACAAGTCACTGTTATGAGAGCACATGATAATAATTTAGAGTACAGTGACACATTTGTATAATTTTCATCATTCTGAACAGAGAAAAGGATAAAGTAATCCTAACCTTTGCAGACATACACATCAAAGCTAAAACAACATAAATTCACAAAAGATCTACTATGCATATAAACAAAAAACCTGCATTATATGCAGCTGGCAAACAAAATAAATGTTCTTATTGGCATAAACATCACAGCTGAGTGGTCAGAACTATTGCTTTGTATTCGGGGGTCTCTGACTGAAGTCTCGGCCTGGATGCTGGTTATCCTGACGGGTTCTTTATGGTGTTCATCAGCCTCTAAAGGCAAATATTGGGAAAGTTCCTTCAACATCCTTTTTAAATCATTACTCTTATCATCTGACACTATATAGTTTTAGCTACTGATAATATCATTACATAAACCATAAATAAATAAATTTTCATAACTAACATTTTTCATACAAACATACCTCACACGCATTCCTTTTGTAAGAGCTCCAGTCTCCTTTATTGTTGTAGAGAGGCTGACCTGAATTGTGCAGAGCGAAGATGAGCATTCCAAGGGAAAACATGTCGCTGGCTGGAGAGTGACTAAGGGTCAGGGCACATTCAGGAGCCAAGTAATCAAGACATGGTTGAGCCGTTGGATGCAGTGTGGGGCTGTATTCTACAAAAGGCCAGTATGGCTCCAAAAAACAAATAAAGAAAAGAAACACCAATTATTACTCTGTACCCACGTTTCAAATTTAAAAATTTCCAGGGCAACAACTACTAGCCAATCCTATTATCCATAACAATTAAGTATCTTATGGATTAGGAGTGTAATTATGAAGCAACTGACTTCCAGGTGAATGTTATGAAATATAAAGAAACTATAATACATTGACTCTGCTATATAAAAGTATAAATTCCTGTAAAAGAGACAATTTTTAAAAATTGTTATATACAGGGACTCAAAAACACGCAAAACATCAGAAAGATTAGTCACCATCCCAGCTAAGATTTCAACTGGGCACTCCAAAACAGAAATCAGAAGCATTAACTGGTTGAAAAACCCTAATTTATACAAGACTGGCAGCATTATACAACCAGCACATAACTTTTCTGAAATGGTAATCAAAGATAAGATCAGAAAAAAATCAAAACTGTTATTTGTGCAACCAATCCATTTTGGGTTTCTTATCAAAAAATTTCTGCCATAGTATAGTGTTTGCCACTTCAATATCTAAACAAATAATACGGTACTACAACTGGGAGAAGATGTACACTGTGAGATTGCTGAACAAACTGTACTTGAAATTTCATAGCAATCATGTATTATGATGCAGTACAGTTTTACACTAAAACAGACTATGACAATAGCATAACTAGACAATGAGAGGAAACCTCATATGCAGCATCCCAAAGGAAAAGCGTCCTTTCTTTCAACATAATTAACACATAAGCTTCAAAAACATAATTTGAAAATATCATTATCTAGTTTCCTCTAAACATATAAAACTGTTACATATTTTTACAGCATGTTTAGAGAAAGTATTTTGCAACAAAGGTATTAAGCAAATTAATAGAATCAATAAATACAGCTTCAAACTTTGAACTTGAAAAGAACAATATAAAAATTACCCGTGAGTCTTGTGTGTTACAGTTGTTTATGCAGAAGTCAAAGCCAAATATCTTCCATGCACCTTGCTGGTTGACCACAATCACCTCAGGGCAGATATTATGATGCAAGAGTTTCACATCACTGTGAAGGAAAGCCATTCCCTCCCCTACCTGTATCAAACATACCCAGATCAAATACAATGGTTCACAAACATCATAAACAAGAGATGACCATATATGCGTATATATAATGAAGACCAACAGATTAAAAACACACGTAACTTCAGCTATCTGAACTGAAAAGAAAAATGAAGAAGTTTCAGAAGAAAATAATAAGAACAATCAAAGAATTCTTACATGTTCATAAGGAAGAAAAGGCTAGGCATTGCAAAAACAAAATTACTTACAAACTAAATTTCACCTGTTTTACTGTTAGTCAGAAACTTAAAACAAAGAACAAGATATCAGCCACTTACAAGCTAAAGAAACAAATTCCTACATGAAATTAAAGCAAAAGTAGAGACAGGTTCACGATTGATTCTTGGGGCAGATACATGATGAATGATGAATTGGGAAGGATGTGGAAAGAAATGGCCATTGCATATTTTATGGTACTATACCATCATATGCCTAGATAAACCACAACAGACCTGAGACAATACAGCAGGTGTCTAGTCCAAGTTTCAAGAATACCAACATCACAACTGCAACATTCAGTAAGGGACAGAAAGAAATAACAGAAATATGAAAACCAATTAGAATGGTGTGGTTTTAATGTGTAATGAGAACAGAAGGTGAATGACTGTCTGAAACAACATAACTAACTAGATGGCTTACTGAACCCGAAGGTTCATCACCAAATTAACCAAAGCCCTCCACCGGACCCTGTCCTGGGCCAACAAAATCCAGTTTCCTTCAACTCCCATCTCCCATAGATCCCACCTGAGATTATACTCCCATCTCCCCAGCAGTCTCTTCCCTTCAGGTTTCCCAACCAGTACCCGGTGCACACCTCTTGTCCCATCCATGCGCGCTACATGCCCAGCCCATCTCATTCTTCTCGATAGGTTTTCAAGCTCACCACTATGCAGTTTTCTCCACGCCCCATCGTCTTCCCTCTTAGGCCCAAATATCCTCAACACCCTGTTCTCAAAAACCTGCAATCTGTGTTCCTCCCTCTGAGTGAGAGACCATG